CCCCCCCCCCCCCCCCCCAACCTTACGTTGTCCAGGTGGTCGGCATGGACTCACTGCGACAAGTCCTGCCACGGGGGGCAAACCTACCGCCACCGGAGACTGATGCGCTACAACAGCTTCGGGGGCACTTGCCCCACAAGCTCCTTGAAGGCGTGCGTTTGAGTGATGCTGCCCTTTAGACTTTTTGACCTGAGCTTTCTGCTTCTCCAGGAAGTTGCGCCCTGCAACACCCAAGCCTGCGTTCCCGTCACGAGGCGGCTGCTTGTGATGTCTTGTGTCCCTCCAGTGCGCCGCTGCTTCGCTGCCGTCAGGGACTGCGCTTTCGGCGACTGGGGCAATTGGAGCACATGCTCCCAGGAGACAGGCGAAGGCTTTTCCAAGAGACTGCGGAGCCTGGTGCCGGCGACGGGAGACGGCAAGGAGCGGCAGTAGACTTGAGGGAGCGGCAGTTTTGTCTTTGGGTGCAGCCGGTGTGCAGGCTTGCAATGGAACCACCGTGGAGCTGAAGGCTTGCCAGATCAAGCCTCAGGAGGCAGGTTCCGAGTGACAGAAGTTTGAGACGGCGCTGTCCCGGCACTTCGCAGGTTGTCGACTGCAAGTGGGGGAGCTGGTTGGACTGGAGCGACTGCACCAAGACCTGTGGAGGAGGCTCAATAAACGACCCCAACTTTCAAGGGAGGGGGGATGGGCTTCTCTGGGCCCGCGTCGTCTTTGTTTTTGGAGGCTCCATGCGCCGGAGCCGGGCCGTGGAAGCGGCGCCGCGGAACGGCGGCCTGCCCTGCCAGGCCGAGGATAAGGAGGCGCCCGCGTGCTTTCTAGGGTAAAGTTTATGGTTTAGGGTTTCTTTCAATGCACAGAGCTTTTGACAGCGAGGAAGTGGCTTTCTGTAGCACAATGCCGTGCAGCGGCGAGTGCATCGATGGCAAATGGAGCGACTGGGCAGCGACTCGGCTCAAACCCTCGTCTGTTTTGTCAGGTCCCCTCCATTTCTTCGGAAGGTCTTCCATCCGCTAGTAACGGAGAAGGAGAGTACCCGCCCGAAGTTGTATCCGACAATAATCGCGAAAGAAACGATGCGACGCGGGCATTGGCGGGGCTCGCATCTTGCCACAGGCGTCCAGCATAGCCAGCAAATCTTCTTGGACATCCGTGTTTTCTGTCGACACAGTTGCTTGTGGCTACGAAAAAGCATTTCGTAGGAAGTAAGGACAGTCTAGCTTGGTTTTCTGAAAGTCATGTCGTGCTGTCGGGGACCGAGCTCAGTTCGTCTCCTTCTCCTCCGGAATCCGTATGTGTTGACCAGAGCGAATGCCAGAGGAGGAAGGAGAGGAAAGGCGGAGACAAATCGCGCTGTTTGGAGTCTACCCACCAAAAGCTGACTGCTCATGATTTAGAAGGTGGCGGTCTTCAGCTGTCGGGTAGACAGGAATACCAACAGCTCCCGTGCCAAAGTCCGATCTTGTGGGGGAATACGTGAAGTATCCTCAAAGCTCCTGTTGGCTCCTCTTGCAGGACTGGGGGGAGTGCAGCGCCTACTGCGGCAGCGGCTTCCAGAAGCGGCGCCGGAGCCTGGCGACGCTGCCCACAGCTTGCGGGGCCATGCCGGTGCTGCTCCCAATGGGGGGCGTTTTTCCTCGCAGCTGGTGTTGGCCTTTTTTCTTCCTTGGCTTCTTTTGGAGACTCTCCGAGGAAGGGCACCGCGAGGACTACCGCCTCTGCGACCCGGCCTTGCCGGCCTGCGAGCAGGCTGAAACCTAAGCTCTGCTCATGTCTGCTCAGCAAGGCTCCTCTAAGTCTTTACCCGAGGACCAAAACTGCCGCCTCTCCTTGTGGAGTAGCTGGTCGGAGTGCACCTTGGCAGCTGTCTCTTTGCCGCTTCCTTTTCGCTTTCCTTGTTTCACGCTTTACCTCAGGCTCCAAGGACTGTCACGGAGTCCGTGAGAGGGTCCGCCACATCACCATGTTCGCCCGCGGGAACGGAGTTCCCTGCTTCTTGGCAGCTGTGAGGCCGTGCCACAAGAGCCCCCCGAACCTCGGCAATGAGTTCCTCCAGCCAAGGTGTAAACGAAAGCCTCAAGGACATCGAGGACTCGGGCGAGACACGTGGGAAGAGTTGCAGGTTTTATCAAAAACTCCTCGCCCCGCAGGACTGCAATCCGCTGCTGGGCGGCGCAGCACCTGCTGCCTGCGGCACGGCGCCGCTGCAGGTCAGTGACAGAGTCGGAGCTGCGTGTGCCTCGAGAGAGTGCCGACAGCGCCGACTTCCCTGCCAGGACTGCGTTCTCCAGGACTGGTCCGAGTGGTCAGATTGCTCCGTGACCTGTGGCGGCGGCGAACAGCTCCGCAAGCGCACGGCTTCGGCCTTGGGGCCTTGATGCTTTCCCTGACATTCTTTACAGGGACGTCTGCGAGTCTAAGGTCTTGCAGGCCTCCTCGAATGGCGGCAGACCGTGCAATGGCACCCTGACCCTCGTCCAGGGCTGCAGCCCAAGCCCTTGCCACGTCCATGCTGCTCGGCCTGCACTCGGCCTGCACTCGGCCTGCACTCGGCCTGCAGGCCTAGGACTAGGAGCACTCACTCTCTCTGACAAAGCTCCTGTGCTGTTCTGAGGTGGCCAAGGATTGCAAGTGGGGAGACTGGGCGGACTGGGGAGACTGCACTCACTGTGGCGGGCAGCGCACTCGGCACCGCATCATTGAGCAACTCCCGACGCTGCACGGCAAGCTGTGCGATGAGGAGGATGCCAAGGAGGTGTCGAACTGCACCAGCTACTGCCATGATCGGAAGTATTGCGTGTGGTCTGAGTGGAGTGGGCGGGAATGTGCCCCAACATGCGGAGTGTCCACGACTATGCGAAACCGAGTTCTAAAACTCGTGGACGTAGCGGATGCGAAGGATTATCTCTTTGTGGGTGACAAGCATTCCGGCTGCCTCGGTTCGCAGCTAGACGTGACAACCTGTCCCAGCTCCAGCGAACACTGCACGGAGTGCGTGCCTGTGGACTGTGCCTTTGGACCCTGGAGCGAGTGGAATGAGCCAACCTGTGTCGGGCTCTGCGAGCGCCAGCGGGTTGTGAAGCAGATGAGCAACGAGTGTGGCTCTCCTTGCAGCGGTGCCTTGCAAGAGACGAAGCATTGTCAGTCCAATTCCTGCGACGCACCCCAGGACTGCGAAGTCTCAGACTGGACCGAGTGGAGCCACTGCAGCAATGCCACGGGACATATGGGCGGACAAAGGTATCGCCGACGGGATGTCCTCCAAGCTCCAAAGCGTGGCGGCCTTGCATGCTATGGAGACCTGGGACAGACTAAGGCAGGCACTAATGGGGTTATTTGAAGGTGCTAAATTATTTGTTGCAGGCACCGTTTTGGCCGAGACATCTTTGCGCGCAGGAGAGTTTCTAGCATGGCATGCCTTAGCAAACTGAGCCTTGCAGCAGGCCTGGACATAGCAAGAAGTTTCGAATAGCAGGCTTGGAGTGCAGTTGTTACAGGGTTTAAACAAAGAGAAAAATAGTTTCAAAGACACGCAAACACCGGTTCGTTGATACGTCACTCTCCTCCGCTCAGGAACACATAACACACATCGCATATTGTATAAGTCGATCTTTTGCAAAATAGCCGGCTCGGCGCTGCAGGAGGCGGTACGATGAACAATTCAACGGTCGCGCAAACGTAAGCGTATTGGTATGGGAAAGTTCACCTCATCGGTTTTGACTCGCATGCGAAAACGACGTGTGGTTTCTATCCAAGCGTGGAATACGGGACCATTTGTGCTTGGATCCTCTGGCGCCTGCACCAGCGTCCTCTGGCGCATCATACATGGCCTGCGTCCTCTGGCGCTCGACTGGCCCGTAGCCACTGTCGTATGGTTTCTTCTCGTCCCTTGCACTGCTCTCATGCGGCATGTTTTTCTCGCACACCCGACCGGTCAGCACACATGTGACTTGTCGTGAGTCATTACTGTAACGGTTATATTTAAGTAGCTCGAGCCCGGCCCTTGCAAGTTCGCTTTGAGAGTTGGCCCGGTGCCTCCACATGGCGGTGGTGCTATGGGCCGACAGCAGCAGCAAAGGCCTGCTCGGTCCGCTCGTGAGGACACTCTGACTCCAAATCGGACTGCGATGAACCGTGACCCTCAAGGTGGGTGGCATCTCTTCCCCTTCTTGGTTAGCTCGTCGGCGCGCACCCTCTGTCACACCTCAAAATGTTGGTGCAATTGGTCGAGGTCGTCGGCTGCAGGACTTTGGAAAACGAAGGTAAAGCTTGGGCCGTTGCTCAAGGAACTGCCAAGCACAGGAAGCTCCAACCGGAGTTCCCCGAAGACAGAATCGCCATCATCGACCTCGGCGGTGTAGTGGATCTCCTCCTTGCTTTCTTCCTCCGTGAAGCTCACATCATACACCTTGGTCCGATCTGTGGCCTGATTGGCTGATGAAGTGCCTCTTCTCTGAAGCTCGCCGAAGAACCTTGGGCCCAGAAAAACGCACTGCTTTGACCGTACTGGCGTATTCCAGGTTGCCCTTGGCTTCGATAACTACCTTCTTCTTATCCTCGGCCTAAAGCTGACTATGACGAAGAAGTACATAAGCTCTGATGCCCTGGATGGACACCTTCTTCGCCAAGAGCTCCTCGAAGTGGGCGTCGCGCCTGGCGATGTACGGGTCGTTGCTCTCGTCTCCCTTCTGACTGATCTGAAGCATGGCCGGCTCAAAGTGGTAGTGCTTATCTTCAACCGCTGTTCGTCCTCAAGAGCCTCCCAGCGCTTCGACCAACAGTTTCATTCCGTCACTTCGCCGGGGTTTGTTCGGAGCAATCCTGCTGACCTTATGCAGAGCTGATCCTTCAACTTATAGGGCCGCCCTTGGCCCGTGCAGTGCCACCTGCTCCGTGGGCCACAATTCTTTGAGGAAATGCAAGCGCCTGGTGTATTCATCAACGTTGGTGGTTCCTGGAATGGATCGCGTGTGTTGCCATGGTAGGTGGCCAAAACCTACCCCTTGTTGGCCCGTTCCATCAGTGGCTTCTGAAGTCGTCATGGCTCTATAAAGGCTTTAGCTTGTTTGCGAACCCCTCCGTTTACACCACCCTGTGGGTGTGGGGCTCCGCTACCAATGTGGAACAGCCTCAGACAATGTAGCCAGGAACCCTGTTCACGCCCTGATGGTTTGGCCCTCAAGCACGGCTGCTCCTGTCTTTCTTTTGTGCTGGGAACAAAGCGGAGAGAACAGCAAAGTGGCTCGACATGACACAAGTGACTGCGGACTCCTCCAGGAACGTAAGCAACCTGCGCCCTATGCCGGCAGAATCCTCTAGGCACGTAAGCAACCTGCGCCCTATTTTCGCTGGTTTAACGAAGGAGGAGCTCAATTTCCAGTACAGTTCGTAGAAGTTTTCTCGGCTTTCCGCGTTGCTCTACCCGTGCATGCCTCTAAGAGCCCGCCTCAGTGTACCACGTGACCCCGGTACGACCGGTCTTAAAGCAAGCGTGCGATTGTCCATCCCTAAGCCGACCCCCATGACCTTGCAACCTGCCAGGCTTGCAAAGGAGAGCTACCGGAGCCTTGTGTGATGGATCAGTGGCAGAGCTGGGGTGATTGTAGCACAACGTGCGGCGAAGGTTTCCGAAGTCGGGAAAGGACTATCAAGCGCTTGGCTGACGATGGAGGAACGCAATGCAACGGACGTTTATCGGAGGTGAAGGAATGTCACGCAGGCTTCTGGGAGGATTGTGGTTTGGGGAGCGAACAGGACTGCGAGTTCGATGCTTGGAATGACTGGAGCGATTGCAGCTTTTCCATGCAACGAGAGCGGTCGAGGGACTTCAAGAAGCGAGCGCTGTTGGGTGGGCTACCTTGCATGGGCCCAATGCACGAGCTCGAGACTTGCCACCACGACCCTGTCGACTGCACCGTTTCGGACTGGACTGATTGGGATAATTGTGATCGCACTTGTGGCTCGGCACATGCACGGCGTCAGCGGGAGATTCTGACCTTCCCCATGCACGGAGGCAATTTCTGTCCCAGCGATCTCGTTGAGATGAAAGCTTGCCATTTGCCAACTTGCGATCTGAAGGATTGTAAGGTTTCAGGCTGGCTCGAGTGGGGTGCCTGCTCTGCGTCCTGTGGCCCCGGTCAGCAAAGCCGCGTTCGTGCAGTGATCAACCTCCGGGAACCTGGTGGCTTCGGCTGCTTCTTCTCCATTGCCGAGAACCAGGCCTGCCAGGGCAGCGATGGAGCTTGCTCCGCAGACTGTGAATGGGAGAACTGGGATGACTGGTCGGATTGCAGCCAATCCTACGGGGGGGGCCACATGAAGCGCGAACGCAAGATCAAGACCATGCCTTCTGAAGGAGGCAAGGCGTGCGACAACAAGGACCCTGGGTTGTTCTACCACGGCCCCGTGGCGCTGTGGTTGCCTTGTTGCTCAGGACATGACGGAAATGCTGCCTTGCAACGTGGGCGCCTGCCATGAGCATTGTGCCTTGGCTTCATCTCGCTGTTCGGCACGAGCGTTTGAAAGGGGGTCGGTTTGCCTTTGAATATCGTACGCAAACGTGGTCCAGGCGTCGACGGCGCCTGGGCCGTCTGGGAGCAATGGTCTCCATGTAGCCGCACATGTGGAGGAGGTGTGACCTTCCGACGCCGGGAGGCGTGGGCTTGTTGCCGTGTCGCATACACCGTGTATCACGATAATGATTTACGACGTGAGACAGAGAAGGGAGGTTGGTGTTGGCCATGACCTGCAGGGCTCAGTGTGTGGCTATTGTGTCTCCACCGCAGTGCTGTCGGATTCCTTGTAATTGTAGCATGTGTGTCACATGCGAGGTGAAGCAAATGGCCAACAGCTGCGGCCATCCGGCTATCGGCCACGACAAGGACCGCGTAACTCAGTCCAAGCATTTCAGGTGTTGCTTGCCGTGGCTTGACGTGGTTGCTGTGCTTGCACCAGTGCGAGTTGGCTGTTTCCTTGTAGGAGACGAAGTTCTGCAACGTCGACGTGCACTGTCAGAAAGACAAGGCGTGTGTGTTTTTTGTTAGTGCTTTCTCAGCTCGTTTCACAACTGGTTCTGCATCTTGCGTCGTGCTCGGAAGGACTGCCTCTACACCGGCTGGAGTAGCTGGAACGAGTGCTCCAGCAGCTGCCGCTTGGCCTGACATCCTGGTGGATGCAGCGCCTCTGTCCGAATGCGAAAGGTACGATGAACCGTGGAGCCTCAGGCAACACTTGCAGACGTTGAACCATGAACGAAGGCAAGCAAAGCTTGTAAATTGCAAAGCTTCACTCTGAGTACATGATGACACAACTCATCTGAGCACTCTCCTGGTGAAGAGAAGTGAGATTCCCGCCCTACTTCGAGCAGACACTTCGTGAGCAGTCGAACCGTCATGTGCATCAAGTCCATTACCGCAGTGGAAGCATCGCAGTTCAGTGTCAACACCGTGCTGTTTCGAGTCGTTAAAGCATTGGGACGATTTGCTTCGGGTTCGGTCGCTGTGTCGGTTGGTACTTGTATGTAAGGCACAGGCATTCGATTCCGGCGGCGAAGCATCGCCGCCTATGGCCACGGCGACGGCCTCTTCTGCCCCTCGGCCAGCGAAGCTCCGCTCAGCTCCGCTCAGCTCCTCTCAGCTCCGCTCAGCTTCTCTTTTGTCTGCTGAGGGCTCTGCTCTCCTTCAGAGGTCAGGGCGCCTTGCAGGAAGTCTCAATGTGCAACCCCGCGGAGGGCGAGGCGGCCCCGAGCGGCTGCCCGGGCCTCGGTTTCTCGGAGCGCCCTCTCCTCGTCGCACGTTTTTTTGCTTCCTTTTCGCTGCCTTTCTCCCTGAGGCCTTGAAGGGCCGAAGGTGGACTGCGTGCTCAGTGCCTGGAGCGGCTGGGATGCCTGCAGCGCCACCTGCGACGGCGGGGAACAAAGGCAGCTTCGGGTTTGAGGGCTTTTTTCGTTGCGCGCGTGCCAAGCGGCGAGCCGCCTTGGCCTCGTCTTGTCCTTCAGGCGCCACCGATACGTCACCCAGCATCCCCACCACGGCGGCCTTGCGTGCAAAGGTGTGGATTGATGTGCGAGGGAGTGGACTCAACTGGCCCATCGCCTTTCCAGGCACGCTCGTGGATGTCCGGGAATGTGGTCGTGACCACTGCCACAACGGCGGCCATCCGCTGGATTGTGTTTACGGGCAGTGGAAGGAGCCGCTGGGCCATTGACACGGCAGCGGGTAGTGAACGGAAAGGCGGTCAGGCAGCCAGCAAGACGTTTGTAGCTTGCAGAGCCAAGGTGGGCAGCCTGTGGACAATGTGACGGTGAGAGAAAGCGAGTCCGGGAAATTCTGGTTTACCCGGCAAAGGCCACGTCTGAGAGACTCTGAGGGGGCTGAAAAACGATGGGTGTGCCTTCTCTTGGAGTGCTTCGTTGCGGTCAGGGCGGCCGAGAATGTGTCCCGGCGGCCATGGAGGAAGTGGGCGCTTGCCCCAACCCCTGTGCTTCGGAGACCCGGCTAAAAATGGAAACAGCGGGCCTCAAGCCCCGATTTTAAATATCAGGGATGAGCCCGGAAGCCGCCCTTTGTCCGAGGAGCTCGCCTGCTCCTGGCAAAGTTGGCGACGGGCTCTGTCTTGCAATGTGCCTCCGGGAGACTCAGTGTGCATGAATGCCACAAGAGTGTGTCATGTCTGTCGATGCCTGTTGTGGCTCAAGGGTTTCTTAATTCACCCCGGTCGAACCCGACTGCGGGCCTTTACTAAAGTGCCGAAGTTCCCTTTTGCTTTCTTTCGGCTGCACATCAATGGCCGGCATCCGCTGGAATCCTGGCAGCTCGGGGCACCCAGATCTTTGTGCACGACCCTGTGTCTACATCGCCAAGAGGGGCGCCTGCAATGTGGATTCTTGCAATTTCTGCCACTTGGGCCATGACCCGGATCGGCCCCCTGCGAAGCTGGATCAGAGAAGCCGGCAGATATTGTCGAAGCTTGCCCGTGGCGACGTTTGTGCATTGCTTTTGGGGATTTTCCGTGCCAAGATAGAACAGATGGAGCAGCTTCGCGACACAGCTGCACACATTCTGAAGCTCTTGGAGGAGGAGATCGCAAAGTACCCACCGGAAGGACGCCTGGCGGGGAAGAGATCGCAGGAGTTGCGGAAGTTCCTGGGGCGCATGTCCTTGACATATTCGATGACGTATTTCTCGCCGAACTTACCAGAAAACTTGATCGTGGCCTTCGAGCGGATGCGTCAGACCTATCCATCGCCGCAAGGGGCAGATCTGTCCTTGAGGGAGGCACTTGTCCTGTTCCCGCCTCGCATGATCACAGCCATGCGCAATGACGAGGATATGGACGACCTGATCACCGAGGGTGCAGTGTGGCGTGTCTGAGCCTACTTTAACGCTCCGGTGCTCCGATAAGCGGGTCCGGACAAGCATGGTGCGAGCAACATCGAGTACAGCACTTGTGTTTATGCTGTATAGTCTGTATAGTACAGTTGCCCCTGACTTCTGTGTGTCAAGCCCCCGCAAATCATAGACTGCATGTGCCTCTTCAAAGTTCACTTCCCAAGTTTGCTCATGAGATTGCGCGTGCACAGTCAGATGGCGATGGCAAGTTTTTCAGCATCTGACTAAAAGACATCGCGCATCTCAAGATGTCAGGGGTACGTGTACTCATTGAGAAGGAAGGTTATACGGGTTATATCCTTCAGCTTTTCGGCATCCTTCATCCGATTCTTTGCCCTGGCTCCGGCCTTGCGATACATCTTCGACTCGTCGCAGGAGCCACTGAAGCTCATGATTCGCCAGTGAATCCTGTCGGGACAGCGGTTGGTATCCGCCGAAGATCTTTTGCCGGTGCCACAACGGCGATCATCGGTGCGGGATGGACGAGAGCAGGAAAAAGGCGAGCTCGTTTAGCCTTCAAGACGCGAGCGACCGCGAGTTCTGCGAGTTACATGCCCAGGTCCAAGTGGAGCTCTTGCTCTGCAACCTGTGGGACCGGTGGAAGGAGACATCGCTTTAGGGAGATGATCAAGGCGCAACCGCTGTCGTTGAGGTTGCAGGGACCCCGTACCTTTGCGATGGAGGTCACGCGGCCTGTAAACAGCGGGCTTGCGGGTAAACCACACCGGGACCTCATCCAGAAGTACCGGACGCTGTACGATCGCACGCGCAGCCTGGAGGAGGGCCAGATGAAGGCACCTTTGCAGCGTTTCCATGCACGGACATGTGTTGGAGTGGCGAAGTCACTTCGTCGACGTCGGAGGGCTCAACTTCAGAAATCTGCACTGCGCCGAAGTGCCGAAGCTCTTTCTCAGGAGATAGGCCTTGCCTTCCTCGCGGGCTTTCTGGCGCTTTCAGCCGTCGGAACCTTCGTGCAGCGGCTGCGGCGGCCTGCAATCCAGGTGGGAAACACGCCCACAACGGAAAAACACCAATGTTGGAACTTCACAAGTCCGAGGGATTCAGTTGACGCGCATCCCTGGCCCGGAGCTTTCAGGTCACGATGGTCGACACCGAGCAGGTTTGCAGGGGTGGAGAGAAGGGCAGCAAGCTTTTTTTAGCCAGTGGCGTTCGGGCTTCCGTGAACCCACCTCAGGCCCTCGCTGGTGAAGAGGCCTCCGATGTGGAGGTCCCGTTGGTGGCATCCCTTTAGGAGGCGCGCCTTCTAGAGCCCGGGGGGCCTTAGACGCGTCTTTGCCAGCTCGTTCCGTAGCGTACTGAGGAAACCCCCAAGAGCCTCTGAGTCTCACGCGCAGCCCCCGTCTCACGCAATTCGAGCATCAGATGCGCAAATCGACCCGTCTGTGGCCCACGTTGTTCAGCGGTGAGACTGCGCAGGCTGGGCACAAAGATGTCCGTGCGCACCACCGCTGCAACACCGGGAGCAGCGAAAGAAGCCACATCACCAAATGAAGAGATTTCCCTCGCCAAGCAGACGGGTGGGGATCTACGCAGTCAGGGGAGGAAGCTATACATTGAAGTTCGGGAATCTTCTAAACCGAACCCGCACCTCACCTTCGGCATGACAAGATTGCCGAATCACACCGCGCCGTGAGAAGTTGGTTCATTGCATATCGCAGAACAGAGAAGCATAACCACAGCAATGAAACGGCTATGGACGCAATGAGCTTATATATCAACTTGTACCCTTCGACAGGATGTAGATAGGGCCACTGGTCCCAAGAATCTGTGGGTCTCTAGCCCTCTGGGATCCCGAGGGCACGCCAATGAAGCGGGGTCCACTGCACCAATTCGATGCCTCGTGTTAGGAGGTCAAGTAGGAGGCCGGCTTTGGTTGCCCTGAGATCATGGAGGGCCAGACTACACACTAATATGATCTTCGGCTTTAGACCCGAAAGCTCTTCGGCTTGTTGTAGGTAAGGCTCCCAATGATCCTCAGGGCAGGATCTCGTAATTTTTGTGGACACGATATCTCACGTAGCTGCTCTCGTTGGCTTGTAACTGGATAATGAGGAATGTTGAGTCCGTACAAAAAAGGCCGGGGCATCTGCCCTCCCAGCGGTTTTGGACTGGAAGTGATGCACCTCTTTTCTCTTCGGGGCCTTTGATGCCATTTTTCCGAGGAGGAGATGCTGGGAGATGGCTATGCCGCGGCGGAGCGCATCGCCCTGGAGCCCAACGGCAACCCTAACTATCTGTCGCTTGGAGAGGATGAGCAGTAGAGCCAGTATATGATAGAAGTCGATGCCGATGCCGAAGCAGAGTGACACAAGGATCGACCCGAATAATGCCAACTTCTTCCACATGATGTTCTTCTTGTGAGAGCTCGGCAGCTAGGTCTGTAGGGTAGGTTCCATCTCCATGCAACCATGGCGACTTTTGAAGTGCAGCTTTGATGGCCTCTGCTGGCCTTGACATAGCAGCAGCATGTTAAGTGCGCCTTGCAGGTGTTTGGCCAGACTATATTTCCTGTGTAGCCTGCGAGGCAGCTTATGTCTTGGCCAGTGGCCTTACGCAGTTTTGAGCCTTCTTGCCCATGTTGCGTATGCGTGATGCGGCAAGTTGCTTTATCTTACACCAGTTGCACAGTGCGTGCGAGGCAACAAGTGGCTGAGCCAGCCTATATAGGGTTTTTACAATCGATGTGGGGTAGTTTTATGACGCTCGCGCGCACGCGCCCCCGCCCGCCCGCCCGCCTGCGTCCATGCACACTCGCATCACTCACACTCGCATGTTGGCCCGCTCGCACGCTCTCGTACGCTCGCACGCTCGCACGCTCGCACGCACGCACTCACACATGTCCTATTGCATGTTACTAGTGGCATTTGCTTCGCCCGCCTTCGGCTGTTTGAGTGCAGCCGCATGGCTCGACAGGGTCTCTTGCCCCTTCAGGGGCCTTCCCGGAAAGGGGCGCCGGCGTTGGTTGCACCTGAAGCCGCGAAGGTTCCTGAACTTGAGACACCCGATTGGTGATCTTTGCCTTCTCACGAATACCTGCTGCGGCAGAGGATCCGTGCCGCTGAAATCCATCATGGGGGAGGCCATGGGCCGCTGCAAACTGTGACCTAACCTCAACTCGTTGCAGTGCCTTGCGTGTAGGCACTTCCTCGGTACCCCTGCAAAGCTTTCCCATTTTCTTGCAGCTGCAGTCATCTTCTTCAGGCAGCGATTCTATCGGAGAAGTTGAAGAGGCCCCTTTCTTTTCGAAGACAGGGCAAAGGAGGGGGCTCTGGAGAGGTATGGCGCGGTGGGAGCCGGCTTGATCCCGGACTCGATGGCCACACTCCGCCTGGTCGAGGCGCTTGGGAGGCAAAATCTCTCAGCTGGATCCACTCTGCGCATTGTCCCATTTTTAGGCCGCAAAGAACGCTCCGTCGCAGGGTGCACCGGCCAGAGACACGTGCCTCAGAAACTTGCGGCTGAGCCTCAACCAGGCTATGCAGAAGAGCCTCCTGCGACATCCAGCAGCGCTAGCACAGGTGCCCTGATACCGGCAGCCGGCAGCATCCTGGCTTTCTTTGCCCCTCGGCTTTGCTGAGTCTCCAGGCAGCCGCAAGATCTGGAAAAAGCCAAGTGGAGGAGCAGCGTGCCGGTACGAAACTTCAATGATACGCCGTGCTGTGCAACCCTGCAGGAGTGCAGACGAGGCAAGACATCCTCGAGCTGTTGGACGAAACCATCCGAGTGCAGGGTGAATCTGGCTAGTGATCGAGAGTTCCCCGCTCTCTCGCTAGCTTTGTCTCTATCTCTCTCTTTTGGGTCGAAGGAGACATGCGTAGAGATCTTGTCTTCCCTTGGGCTGCAGCCTGTCCTAGCCAGGCATTGTGCAGACTGAAATCAGTCAGCTGGCCAGAAGCATAGCGAAAGAGGCGAAGGCAGTGGGGGACTTTGGACGTCCCACGAGGCAGGAAGTGGGGCCAGTCCTTTTTTCAAGGAGAAGCAGGAGGGCAAGAAGAAAAAGAAGAAGGCCCTCTCCATCACTGAGGCTTTCCGCAGAATCAAGGCGAGCCACTCCGAAACAACGTCTGGGACGAGTCATCGTGGCTTGTCGTCTTGCGCCAGGAAATGCAGCTGCCGATAGATCCCCTGGAGGACTGAACCTGCGACTCGGGAGAAGGGCGGATGCATCTGCGAGATTCTGCCAGAGGAGCTCAACCTCAGTGAGCAGGCCTTCCAAAAGCTTCTCACAGAGTGCCCCCACCTCCCTGTTTCTCTCTCGCTTGGCCCCAGAAAACCGCTGCCAGGTACGAGCAGGACCAGGAGGCATCGGTGCTACCCGCGACGGACGCATGGGGGCTCAGCTCAAGCGCTCAGGTCTCGGCCAAGGCCCAGCTGCTCCTTCACCCGGAGCCCAAAGGCGACCTCGCCAAAGCCCGGAGTGCGCTTCTGCAGGGGTTTTCTTAGAGATGCCTCTTACCCACTCTCTCCTTCGAAAGAAAGACAGCTACCACTTCGGATTTCGCTTTTGCGTCGGATATTCACACTTCACTGCAGAATTTAGTGGTGTCGTGCCATCAGAATCGATATAGAAGCGGAAGAAGAGCCCGGCTCCTGTCACTTTCCACGAAGATGCACGGTGAGAGCTCAGAGGTATTGGCATTGAGAAGATCGTGGAGATCCATCAGTTCATGGTGGTCTGGGGCCCCCTGCTTTTTCGTGTTCACAGCGCCGTTTTGGAGCCCCGGATCCAGAGGTAGAGATGCAGAAGGTTCTCACGGAATTCCTGGCGCTGGATCAGGAGCTGCGGTTCGGCTTAGGGTTTGGGGTTTAAGGTTTAGGGTTGAGGAGAGAGCGTTGCAAGCCCGGAGGAGACGCGTCGAAGCTTCAGCAACAAGGCTTTGCCTCTGCAGGGACTTCTCTGCTCACTGTTGCGTCCCGCGCTGTGAAAGGCATGTGAGACCACTGCTGAACTTCTCGTGAAGACCTCAGACATCCACGCAATCGAGCTGGTAAGCTCTGCTATGCCTCCGGAAGAGTCTATCCTTTACGCCGAGGTGTCCGTGGCAGTGGAACAGCAGCTGGGCGTACACTGTGAGGACGTAGAGCAGGCCATTCAGATCTTGCCAGACGGGTTTCGGGCAAGACGGGCTTGCAGCATCGCCCTAAAATCTTTTTCTTTGCGTGAGGCAGTGATGCAGTGCTGACCCCAGATCGTTGGGAAGAGCCGTAGATGCCAAGCTCTGCTTCAACACGGTGCTGCACAGGCACGAAGATGTGCTGGCAAATCATCCAGAGCACGGCGTCCTAGGAGAGTTATGGGAATGTGCAGTGTGGTGTGAGCTTTATGTCGAGGTTTGCGCGCTGCACCGAGCAGCTCGCGAACATGATGCAGTCGGGAGCCCCACCGAAGACTTGGAGCCGCTTTCCAGCGTGAGAATTTACGCTCGCTCTGATCTTTGAAACCTTAGAAAAGCGCTTGCAAGGCACCTCACGGGTGCCGCCCAGCCAAGGGCCAACAAGGCAGCTCTCTGCCCTTTTCTTGCCCTGCCGTGACTACCCGCTTGCCGTGTCTGCGAGCCGGAGGCAGACTTCCTGGAGGTTCTCCGAAACATGGCGGACCACTCCCAGAAGGCCAAGGACCCCGCGATAAGGATTCCTTGGGCGCCGTTCTTTGGGCCGCCAATGGCAAGCGGATTCTGGATTCTGGATGCTCAGGACTTCGCCAAGAAGGTCTACGAAGAGTACCGGGCCAGAGTCTCCAAACGACTTGACCCCTCAACCCTAAACCCAAAACCCCAAAGCCTATAAACCCTAAACCCAACACCCTATAAAGCCTATAAACCCTGTAAACCCTGTAAACCCAAAACCCTAAACCCTATAACCCGGCTACAAGAAGCGGCCCTGCGAGGCGAAGACCTGTCCGGTTGCGGATGCCTACCGCCGCTTCGAGGAGCTAAGAGCAGTGGCTCTCTTCGGCTCTCACCTGCGCCCCAGAAGAGCTCCGTTTTTAGGGTTTAGGGTTTAGGGTTTATGGGGTTTATAAGGGATTAGGGTTTCGGGTTTATGGGAGATTAGGGTTTAGGGTTTATGGGGTTTATAAGGGATTAGGGTTTAGGGTTCTGTGGTATGCCGCGGTGCAGATCGCACGAATTTTCGGGTACCTGCAGACCTTTTTCAAGACTTTTCGCATTGCAGAAGACTTCAAAGGTCCTGATGTGCTTAGTTGATCTCGGCTTCTTTGCTGCAGAGAAACTGCCAGGACTTTGCTGCCGAGGCGCCGGCTGCAAAGGAGGGCCTCGAGGTGCCTTTAAGGGTTTAGGGTTTAGGGCAGTTTCCAGTTTTTCAACTCCCAGCAAACCCATAACCCGCCAAGCACGCTCTCGGCGACCATATCATCAAGTTTCTGTCGCTCATTCCAACTTTGTGGCTATCAATCCTCGTTTTGGAACCGTTCGACCACTCGATCCCCCCCCCCCCGCGCCCCCCCACCCACAAGCAAATCTCCAGAAGGGCACCTGGCACCGCGTCACCTCCAAAATCTATGAGTCGTTCATTGGTTCACCTACCCTGCGCAAACCGAGTGCGCGTGCGGTTGTAGGTTCCCCGATCTTTTGCAAGCAAACAGTTGCCCATCAGGGATCCTTAGTCCGCTGCCTGAGTAGTGCTCTGAAACCACGAAGCCAGCCTTTTGGAGCATAACGCGCACTGTTTCACGACTTTCAGGCACCAACATCTCCGCTGCAGAGAGTTTTTCACTAAACAGGAAATAATGGGCCGACGGCTTTCTTGAATGCTTTTAAGCTTTACAGCTGGAGGAATTGATCCATTTATTGGCAGGACACCACAACACATTCAACAAACCTTGTATTATACTTGTATTATAGCATGGGTCTTCGCCACCTGCCGTGGGAACTGTATCACGAAACCTTCTGTGTCACTGCAGAACGGGGAAGGGGTTGTGCGTGGGGGGGGGGGGACGCCTAGTTTGAAGAGAAGGTCGGTTTGCTATTGCAGCCATCATCACACTTGCAGATGCGTCCAGGACCTGACGCCCGTGGAGCTGCAGCTTTGCTATGATGAGTACCGGGAAGATCCCGAGGTGGGCCCAGTCTCCAAGTTTAGGAGCTTCTGGCCGCTACAGCTTTACCTCCAAGGTGCACCGTGCATGGTCCAAAGCTGGAGTGGAGAACAGCATCATGATGCCGGGGCCCCAGCCTTTGTGCTCCGAATTCCTGTTCCGTAGCCTTTGAGGTGTCCCCGAAAGGCTCCGAAATCCTGTTCCTTTGCCTGCTGCCTGCTCGTCAGGGCCAGCTGCGTCACCTCCCTCCTCAAGAACGAGGCCTCCGCGCCTCTGCCGGAGGCGGGCAGCTTCGATTCTGGGCGGGTTTAGTGTGCTTTTTCGGCTTTTTGGTTTCGAAGGACAAGAAGGGGAAGAAGATGAAGACCTCGGAAATCGTGGAGATGCAGGCTTCTGGGACCCAAGTGTCCTGTGGTCTCCCGACATCCGTCACCCTTTTTTCCCAAATCCTCTTGTGTGTGAGGGGGGACCCAGAGATACTAAATTACTACAGCTGAAGCTGGTGCCTATAGCCGCGTCGAGGAGCTGATGGTGGATGAGATGAAGCGCCTTTCTGAGGCCTCGAGTGCTGCAGCCAAGGTGCGGCGGAGTGACTCAGTGTGCGGAGTAGAGTGTGATGCAAGGCCCGAGCATGCCAGAGATACCCGAAAGCATTGCGGTGTCGATTTGCCAGGCCTCACCATCCTCGCCCTGGCGAGCAGAGATTGCCATGCAGATGGCCATCTCCCCAGCTCAAAGGGCCAGGGCATTGATGCCACTGCAAAGCTGCCGTCGTGAAAGGCGGCGGCAGAGCGCCTCAGCGTCTCGGGCAGAGTGCCGAGGTGCAGTCGCTGGCAAGTGCAGCGGTCGAAAGAAGGCCGGGGATTTCAAGGGGCGTTCCCGCGCGGTTCCGTTGCTCGAAGGTATGGAGTGTCACCAGAGGAGATGACAATCGCCGGCATCCAAAATGCAAGCGGCCCAGAAGAGGCGCCGACCCGAGCACTTGCGGGTTGGGAGCGCCGAGGCTCCCGCCTTGCAGAAGAACGAGCGGTTCGTCCGTGCTACGGAGAAGCAGCAGGCGTGGGGGGGAGTCTGCTCCGCTCTCTGTGGAGCCTGAGATGCCCTGAGCCGGATGCGGTCAGGAGATCATCATGGCGGTGGCGCAGTTTTGTGCACAGTAGGCACCGCGCCAAGGGGCCCCAGAGCTGGGAGCCTCGTTCCCTGCGGGCGAAGCCTGGGGATCCCTCGGCTCAGGCTCTTGGGCTCTTGGGCTCTTGGGCTCTTGCAGGTCGTAAATCCTACGTTAAAGTTCAGAGGTGCTGCTAGAAGTTCTAGAAGCTTCCGGTGCTGGAAGCGAGTAGGTGTAGGTGCCCTCTTGGCACTGCCTCGGAGACATCGCTTCTCCATGGCCCTTCTCACCCCGCCAGGGCTCGCTGGGCTGTAGCTCTGCCTCTGTAGAACGGTCACATAGGATATCATTGGCCACACCCTGAGCTTGTGCAGCCGGGAGCCTGGCAGGTTTTACACCCGCCCAGCGTTCTCACCTCGAAGGTGCAAAGTGGCGATTTGTGAGCCAGCTGGCGCAAGGGGCGGCGTGACAAAGGGCGGGGGAGCGGTGGTATGTTGCCCTGCAGTGTTTCGCCGTTCGAAGCCCCTTTCTGCGACGCTTCTCCACGCTCTTTCTCCGGCTCCGCAGAATCCGCAGAATGAAGTTGTCCCTGGGCCTCCTGGGCCTCCTGGCCTGGCTGCTGCTGGGCCCAGGCTCCTCAAGCGCTCCAAGCGCTGCAGCGCTCGCTCGCTCTTTTCTTTTGGGATGCTCTGTTCGCGTGCCCCTTGCCAGGGCTCCTTGCGAGGGCCGGGAAGCTGCGGTCGACGCGACGGAATGTCGGTGTCGTCGTGGTGCCATGGGCCGCATTTCTGGGCTTGAAGGCGGCTGTGAACTGCTGCGATGTCTGCATGGGGATCCAGGTGGGAGATTCGTCCTTCCAGCGCCCCGTGGCTTAAGGGGTCGGCCTGATGTTTTTGTTGACTTCGAAGTCGGGTTCTCAGGTCGCTATCAGGCGCAGATCAAGAGCATGAGGTGCTATGCTGAAAGGCACGCTGACTGGAGACTGCAAGTTGTTCAGCATGTCAATTGCCCACTTGGTGCAGGCACGGCTATGACATGCACCTCCTCACGGCTTCCGAGTATGACGAGTGCAAGCACTTCAAAGACTTCTTCTTCAGAACCGCGGGCCCGCAAGCACCGCTCGCCCTTGCATGACCGGACTCAGTGCCGAGAGAACCCACCGCCCGCTGGCACCGCTGGCAGTCCAAGGAAAGCATTGCACTGTGTCGAAGTGGCTGGAAACCCAGCCGGCGCACTACATTGCAGCAGTCTTCGATGGCGATGTCGTGGCTGCAGCACCGACGAGGGGCCTGGCAGGGACCTCAGACTGGGGCATTGCCCTTGTCGATCTTGAGTTTGGAGCCGGAGGACAAGTGGATCGACCATGGGGCGGACGTGCAGCTGTACAACCGCTTCAAGCTCAGGATTTCGGGGGCGACGGACGTGCCGTTGGATTGCAATTAGGCGAGCGCAAGTGAGTTCTCCAAGGCTGCTTGTTTCACGAGATCATGGCCGGCCAGCCGGCTTCTGCTTTTTGAAGATGTCTACATTTGTGCTGCGCAAGAGCCGAGCCTTTAGGCCAATGGCAAGTGCGAGAGCTTCAGGCAACTACATGGTTCGAAACACACCCTTCTCCCGGGACTTCCTCATGCGCTGGGCCAAGTACTACGACCGCCGGCCCAAGGGCTTTTCCTCCGCCGACAACGGTGCGATACAGCTTGTCGCGCCCGGCCTCAATCAAGCAATGGTTACACCACGTAATCCCACTTCTCTCTTCACCACTCAGGTGATGGAGACCCTCCGTGTGGAGGGCTTCGAGACGTGCTTCAACATGTACGAGAACCTGACAAGCTCAGTGTCGAACCTGCAGCCATATTGGGATTACGTGCACTGCACCAAGGAGGCCTTGCCCCTCCCAAAACAAAAGACGTTGTCAAATTACAGCGCGTATTGATCGGGTGCAACAGAAGGCCGCAAAAAGAGTCTCGCGCTCCATCACTCTCTCCCTCTCTCTTATATATATATATTTCTCTCTCTCTCTCTATATCTATCTATGAATCTATCTATTTATCTATCTATCTCGCTCTCTCTCTCTCTCTCTCTCTCTCTGTCTCTCTCCCTCTCTCTCTCTCTGTCTCTTTTTTTCTCTCACTCTCTCTCTCTCTCTCTCGCGCTCCCTCCCCTTCTTCTGTGTATGCATCCATACAGACGTTTGTGCATACCTACTGGGGGGTCGCTTTATCTCGCATCGTTTAATTGAACAATACACATCGATAGCGTCCACACTCAGGAATCGCCCTTCAAAAATGCTCTTCCATATTTGTAGCAATCCTTTTGCCCCAGTCTCCTGGCAGCGTCCACGTTGGGTTTTTGGCATGTCCGCATTCATCTTGTGCACTTCCCAGGAAGTTCCAAAGTGCTAGGAGGCCGGTCTTGGAACATTGTCCCTACAGGGGGAAGACTGGTGTGTCTCGAGCAATCGAGCGGCTACATAGGGAACGACTGCGTCTGATGCGTTGTGACGCCATTCATGTGTGCTTCGATCGGGTGCTCATGGAATCGGGTATTTACCGGGGAATGACTGGTCTTGTGATGCCACCGTCCGGCAAAGTTGGCAAGGCAAGTGCAGCCCCTGTGAAAACAGAGGCGGCATCGGCTCAGGTTGTGCAGAATGTTTGTATCTTGAGAGACGACGACGATGGGAAGCCGAGCAAGAGACGAGGCGTGCAGAGAAACGTGGTAAGTGGTGCATCGCCACAACGCATGACGTGTCATCTGAGATGGTGAAGCCTGCATCGTGCAGCAGGCAAGAACGGGGTTCGCCTGATCCATCAAGGTGGCATTACCTGCCATGACGTGCGAGATTGCCCGGAGTGTCTCAGTCTAGTCGTTGCCACCCAGCAGCTGATTGACCACGCTCCTTGTCATCGCAGTTTAGCCGCCGCTGGAGCCACACGTGGCCAACCCAATGAAGGGGAGGATCGCAAGCTTGGAAGTCTTGGCTCCAGGATGAATGCGCGGTGCCGACATCAGGGCCACACGTAGCGAAGCTCGCTGGGACAACATAGGCCGGACTATCTTCCACTTCACCTCGAGCCTGATCATCGGGAGCTTCACCGCTGCCAAGCTGTTCGAGCCGCGCGAAATCCTGGCCGACTGTCTGTCAGGATTCTACATCGGCTTGTACTCCGTCGCCTTTGCTACAGACGAGAATGGGCGGCACGCCTTGGCAGATGCGCACCGTCGAAGCGTGTTACTCACGCATTCCTGTGCATCTTGCAAATTTTGGATAGCGCTTTCGAGTGTATTTACGAGCCAGCATAGAATGCAGCTGGTACATTGTCGCTGCGCTCGAGCGAGGAAGGAGATCGAGCACCAATGCCCCCACCCAATGCCAATCATCCGAAGCCACCCTTATGTGTGTTTGCGTTCCCGAAACATGGTTACATTCACCCAGGCTGCGCAGGTGAGATGTGTATACGCCGGAGGGAAATGATCCCCTCCAAGGGCTCCCGGAAATGCACTGGTAAACGATTTCTGAGCAAGACCATTGGCCAGAACCCGCATTTGCGGGTTACCCAGACATGCACCTGCCTTTCGGCCCAGCGCGCTGTCGGCGCCTCCTCGGCTAGGACAGCACTTCAGAGGTCCATCCCATGTTGGCTATTTTGTGCTGTCCATTTCATTCCAAATCCGTTCCTTATTGACTACTGAACCCCTCCGCGCGCATGTGTCTGAAAAATCCTGGGGCTATGTCTGCAAAGTCTATGTCTGAAAAATTCTTCACGGCCCGATCGACACACACACACACACTATATCGATCTATCTATCTGTCTGTCTATCTATCTATCTATCTATCTATCTATATATATATATATATAGATAGTATACATTTAAATGTAGATATACATACATATAGATATAAATATAGATACATGAATACATGCATGCATGCATATTTATATACATACATATACATACATATATGTATAGTTGTATACATACATATACTTATGCATGTACATATGCATATATGTGTGTATGCGCACGTACAAGAGAGAGCGACCTCCGGTTCTTTTCTTCGACCTCTGGGAGGCCATCGGCCCTGCGCGGAAGTGGCAGTTGCCCGCGGGTTCGCTCACCCTTTGGCCGCGCTTGGAGTTCTACGTGGCTGACGGGGTCTTCCTGAACAGGCAACGGTTTAGGACTATTTGGGGTCGAGCGCCCAGGCATCTGTGAGTCATCGAAGACCGGGTCGGGCAGTGCGGCCCTACAGTGGTTGCTTTCGGGCTGCGCACTCCGAATTGCCAGCATAGTGGGGATATATCCATGCCGTTGAAGACCGCAATGGGTCGCCGAAACTGCCAGAGGGAAGGGAGGAACAGTCGAGCAGTCGAGGGCAGGATGCACGGCCGACGGGTCACATCTTGTACGGGGCTTATGATTGAAAAAAATTGCATGGCGCTCGATGGGAACGAAGTGAGTGTGCTGACCGGCGTTCATTTTCCGGGTTGAGTTCTGTCGAAAATGCAGCAGCATGCAGTCGAGAGGGCATAGCAAGAGTTGGGCAAGTAGAGAAGGAGACATGAAGGGCCGTGGCAAGCGATTTCTGCAGAGTTGCAAATCTCCGTGTAGAGATGCTCACCACTTCCTATCCTGCACTGCTAGACTGATGAAGCCGTCAGCACGAGACCCTCAGTCTATCTCGGTCTAGTGCGGAGGCCCCCATCCGAGCCTGTGAAAGGTGGGCCAGCGAAGAAGTTGGCCCTGTCTTCCACCACGGCATCAAGAACCCCGATGAGGTCACCTCCTTCTACTATCAGGCAAAAGCTTCGAAAAATCCAGAGCCTACCGTTGGGAAAGCGCCGAGTCCGCGTCCGCTTTTGAGCACAGGACCTGGAGAAATGCGAGGTGAACGCCTCCTCGGTGCTTAGGAGCGCTGCGCAGCTCGGGGAGACCGCCCTCCACCTGGCGCAGAGCTACCCGGAATACTTCCCGGCAGGCCCACGGCCTGCCCGCTGGGTCAGAGAGTTTCAGGAGCTTTTTTTTCTGTCTTTCCCTTCTGGAGAGGCAGCGCCTGCAAGCAATGCGCAGAGCGGTGCATGAAGAGCTTCAGCTGCCAACCGCTGGAGGCGAACAGCCTGACCCTCCCAAACTTGAGAGAACTCCGAAGTCGCCGCAGGACGCGGAAGAGCCGCGCCCCAAGCAGGCAGAGCGGGTTCGACCAGATGGAGTTTCGATTTTCGAATCGCTTGGGGCTTAGGGAAGCTTGACAGCTTCTGACAGATGGCGGCGCTCACCGGGCAGGTAGGTGCAGCTGCCTTCAACACTGCCGGTTTCTTCTTGGTGGACTCGGCAGAGAGCCGAAAGTGGGATTCCAAGTCTGCGTGTCGGGGTGGAAGCCCGACTTCATGAGGAGCGCGGAACTGCGTCACTGAAAGGTCACTCAAAGCTCCCTTTGTGTCTTGTAGGGGTGTGTCCTTGTCGCCAAGATTCGCCGAGGCACTCCTGGGGCTGGTCGCGCTGGGCCGCATGAAGGGAGGCGCAGGTTCGGTGGAGTCGCCGAAGACCCTGAGGCGGTGACATTGGCCGAAAAAGCTTCCTTAGAGTCTGCTGTGCCCGGGCCACTTCTCTGTCTTTGGCATGTGCTTGGTTGGTTTTTCATTTTGGATTCACACCCTGATTCTGGCTCGAAGATGGTGTATGCCACAACGCAGCACACATGCGGTGATCTCGAGTGCAAGGCCCCCAGATAGCTCCCGTTGAGTTCGGGTGTGCCTTGCAGTCCAAGGCAGTTCGCCTTGTTTAGACGCTTTTCTCCGAGCTGCGGGAACCGGTCGCCAAGCTTCGAAGAGAGGCCGCGGTAAAGACTTCTCCACTACATTCTGATCTTTTCACGTTGGGTCACAGCTCGGCTGTGCTTCGTTGCCAAGCGCACCCACGCGAACATCGTGAGTCTATCAGAGCCTATCACCCAGCTGGCCAGGCGTGCTGATCTGTTTTCCGCAGCGGAGACTTGCTGTGTAGAACCTTGGCGACGTTCAGACATTGGCCGTCCTGGCATTCTTCCACAGCCGTGTTTGTATGTATGTACAGGTCTGCATTCAAGAAAGAAGATCAGTATACACAAAATCAGACACTATCTCTACTAGTACATCGTAGTTGTGTCCATCTAAGTAAGTAAGTAAATATGTATGTATGTATGTATGTATGTATGTATGTATGTATGTGTGTATGTGCATGTGTATGTGCATGTGTATGTGCATGTGTATGTGCATGTGTATGTGTATGTGTAGATGTATGTGTAGATGTATATGTATATGTATATGTATATGTATATGTATATGTGTATATGTATATGTATATGTATACGTAGATGTAGATGTATATGTAGATGTACATGTATATGTATATGTATATGTATATGCAAATGTATGTGTATATGTATATGTATGTGCATATGTATATGTATATGTATATGTATATGTATATGTATATGTATATGTGTATATATATATATATATGTAAATACACATGTATATTCGTACATAAACACGTATATGTATGCACGCATGCATGCATGCATGCATGCATGTTTGTTTGCTTGCATGCATTCATCTGTCTATGTATGCATGTGTATGAGTATATGTCTATGTATATGTATACGTATATCAATATAGGTATGAATATGTATATGCATGTGTGTGTGTATATATATATATAGACATGCTACCCCCCTCCGGGGACTAGTGTTTTGAGGATTTTTAGGACATAAACAGTCACGCTGGTGTAATATGCATTAGATCTTGATGGGGTGCGGACCGTATGTATGTATGTAGTATGTATGTATGTATGTATGTATGTATGTATGTATGTATGTATGTATGTATGTATATATATATATATTCTCCATGCATGTGCATACACATACAGATCATAGACGACATGCAATCGGTGCGATCATTAAACACATCAATAGCAAGATACAAGTACTTGCATGTACATCTCTGTGTACATATGCACCCCCTACACGCAGTTGGAGACTCGTGCACTTAACCATATGTGCAGGCCGAGTTATGTCTACAAGTTTATGCGCACTCATGTACTACCGAGACATTCGCGCACGTGGAGACCGTGTGTACAGAGACGAGGCGGCGGGCAGGGATTAAGGCGGACACGCTCAGGGGGCGGGCACCAGAGTGGGCAGGCGGCCAGACCTGACCCCAAGGCCAGAAGATGGCGACGACGTACAGCACCCTCAATGCCGCTCTCTCAAGCGTACCTTGGGGCCTTGCAATCCAAGCTGCGCAAAGCTCTGCCCAGATGCGGCGGCCGGCTCCAATACCTCCGAGGCACGGAGGGGCCGGGCAGAACCAGCACTTTTCAGCTCTGCGTCTCTTCCCGAGGTAAGAGTTCTCAAGCGAAGCTTTTTCGAAGCCATCCTGCTTTCAGGATGGCAGCCGGCACAGCCTCGGCTCTTGCAGGGGTCTCAGAGCGCGTCGTACGAAAGGATCTCTGCGACTAATGACAGAATCGTGCCAATGGGTCCTTCGAGTAGGTGGTTCCGCTTCAACAGTGTATGGCTTTTGTGTTTTGCATTTCCATTGAGCTGTACTACTCCATGCATCCTTGTATAGTCGTGGTCATAGAGCCATCTCTTAGTTGCCTTCAGATCTCGATGGCTCTGAATCTGCTGTTCTGACTACTGCAGATCACAGACCCAACAGCCTGAAGCGTCAATCCCACCGACGCAGCTGCTAGGGGCGGTTCCCGAATGCGTCGCAGCCCATGTCGCGAGCGGCTGCCCCAGTTATGGCCAAGACAAAGGCGCACTATTCCACCACTTGGCTGACACTTCGCTTAGGCGGTGAAGTTGACGTGTCGGGATGAATGATTTTGGCTTGACGAGTGCGGCCAACTCTTTGGAGATTCGATTGGTGTTGACGCTCTGTGCGATGGGTCTTCGACAGGAGGGTCGGGGGTCAGCTTTTGCGGTAGGCTAACCATGCGTTTTTGTTTCGCATTCGGCTGACTCTCGTTCCACGCGCCTGCGATCAGAGCCAGTTCCGATGCTAAGCCCTCAGCAGTGCACAGGAAAAGGGGTACCCATGGCACCCATACTACCACTTTCCATCTGAGATGTACTCGGCGATTTCCAGAGCCTGAGGTGGCGCAGCAGGCGATCCTCCCCCCGAGCCATACTCCAACCAGGCTTCGAGTTCGTTGAAAAGCATATAAACGCATCTTCAGCGCGGCGTTTCCAGCGATTCCCAGGGGACATACCTCTGTGGGTGCTCCCAGTCGGCGAACGAGCCAGGCTTGGGTTATCTCTCTCTCCCCCCGGTGGGCAGAGAGAAGCGAAGATCTTTTCAACGACTGCAGGAGCGGCCCACGACGCCCGTCGGGAACTTCCACTCTCGGCGAGGAGCGGAGAGCCGCCCATCGCCGCACTGCCGTGCATTGCCGCTCGCCCTCTCAGATGACTTTAGCGGACCGCGGAGTTCCAACAGCGGAAACTTCGATGGCAGAGGGACTCAGTGCCGAACGCACCCAGCTCCGAGCGCGCTTGCTGCACCGGTTGACCTGGGATTGAGGCCAGCTTCCGGTGCCTCGTAGCCTCGGCGACGCCTGGGCCCCGGAACTCCCACAAGTGAAGATGCGTGAGGATGCGCGACTCTCTGACGCTTCAAGTTGACGCTGCAGGGGAGCAGTCGCAGCAAGAGCGTTGCTGGCCCGGGAAGGCCGCAAACTTGGCAGAACATGTGGAGTTCTCGGACATGCCTCGCTTGTCGCAGGACGTCGCATCGCGAAGGCGGGGGGGTGGGGGGTGGGGGTGGCCAGGTTTGTGTATTCTCAGTTCTGTATCAAACCGACATATATACACAGAAAGTGGTCACTTGTGCACAGACCGCGTTTGTATACTGATCGAACGATCAAAGTGTTATTCGTGGTAACAAACGACAGTCTTTTTTTTCTAGCAGAGCTCCTTTACCTCTTGGTAAGTCGCCTTTTAGTGTTAAGAAGATTGAAGAGACCTCGCTCCGAGCAAAAGAGGAGAGAGTTCCCCGGGCTTCCAACAAGGAAATTTTTCTACCCGATCCTCGACAAGAAGAAACTGAGAGCTTCCGCCAATCTAATGACACAGAAGAGAGCTACAGCTCAAGAAAAGACAGACAGGCTTCTCCAACTTCACGAGAGAGAAGAAAGCTCCGCTTACCCTTCAGTCCTCCTTTCGCTTTAGGTAAGGGAAAGAGATTTCGACTATCCCCCTCACCTCTGAAAAGATGGAAGGGAGACGAGAGCAGACAGCGAAGGGCGGTTCGATACCACCAAACAGGGTATCGTTTCAGCAAATTTGGTGCTTTCGACCCGCTGCGTTTTCAGAAAATGAAGACAGTGAACTGCGGTTCGATAGCACCAAGTTTTTCCGGGTGTCGTTTCAGAAGATTTGGTGCTATTGATGAAGGAAGACAGCGAAGGGCGGTTCGATAGTAGCAAATTTTCCGAAGGGTGTCGTTCCGTGAGTTTGGTGCTACCGAACTGCTGCGTTTTCAGAAAATGAAGACAGCGACGGGCCCTTCAGGATTTTGAATATGTATATTCGATTATTTTTATTTCGGGGTCGGGAATTAACTAGTTTAAATAACTCAAACATGGAAATGGCCTCCGGATGTAGACTAAGTAAAGTCTCCTCCTGCGACCCCTAGAATGAGAACCTAAAGCAATATGTAGTTGCCACCTAAGTTGTGGGTGTGTGTTACACTACAGTGATTCAGCTGGCAAATAGACCGGGTGTTAGTTGCACACGGGCTGGGGGGGGGTTCCATTCTCACTCTGCCGAAGAACGGGCTCAGCTTTCAGCTTTCACTCAGCTTGCGAGGCATCACCTCTGCCGGCAGCTCCGGGTCCACCACCTGCGACAAGTGCGATGGCAAGCACCCGACGGATAGGCCAGACGATTTGGGGTTTAGGGTTTAGGGATTAGTATTTGGGATTTAGGGTTTAAGGTTGAGGTGGAATCGGAAGACTGCAGCTATGCTGACTGTGGCAGGTGCCCTCACTTCCAGAAAGATAGAGAGAAACACAAGGACGCCTGGGTGCGGCCCCCAAGAGACGATTATGATGGACAGCTGGCACCAGCTGCATGTAGCTGGTCGCAGGTGAACTATGGCTGTAAGAACAATCCGCATCAGATGGGTGGCAACCCGGGCAACTTTGTGCTCAGGAGCGGAGCAAGGGTGACCCAATGATTCCTTCAAATCCCTCAAGAGGTTCCTTCAGCTCGCTGCAGGAATGCGCGCGTCATTCGCCAACCCGGAGACGGCAGCTGCCTGTACCACTCCCTCAGCTACGGCACGCCGTCGCAAGATTGCACGAGCGAGAGCAGAGCAGAGAAATTGGGACTTTTGGCAGAAACGCCGTGAGGGTAGAAGTGAGAGCAGAGTGTTTTCCTGGGCCAGGCTTGGGCGACACCGACGCTAGAAGCCTGCGTTTGAAACCCAGGCTCAGCAACAGGAGACCAGGTGGAAGCAGGCG